AATGTTGAGTCTTTAAAAGAAACCTCCACTACTTTTAAGATTATTGCAAAAATGAAACGGAGGCAAATAAAAAAGTATGACCTTAAATTATTATGGCCTACTGTTGTTAAATTACTGATTTTTGTTCTTAAACCTTCATAGGCATTAATCCTACACTGCAATCCTAATTTCATAGGTTTCCGTTCTGAGGTGGAGATGTTGTTTGTTGACAAAACTATATATATTAAGAAGCTAGAAGAGGAAGGTTTGAGATTCAGAATTCTTTTCTTTAAATCACGTAAATTTGGAAAATTAGCATTCCTTGATATGCTCTGCCAATATTATGACATTAAAAATGCAGACAAATTTTCTCAGCTTTTTGGACCACTTTATATTGGACAACATCCTACAAATTCATAAAACAAACGTTTAGTTCTTAAATTTGATCTCTCATCCATTAATGTTCATTCTTATAAAATGATGAAGGAAAGTTTCAATGAGAATGTTAATCATGTATTGCGAGATTTTGTTGAGAAATACGACGAAGAGCTAGAATATCCAAACATTGACAAATTAATTGTCAAGCAAGCCTCTATATCTCTTCAAAATGTCATGGTAAGTTGTATTATTTATAATTTCATATTTTCTATATTTGTCTTGTATGCATGCTATTTAACATATATTAATGATCATAAAGTTTACCGTAAGCAAACAGTCTCAAAAACTCTTTATTGGAGTTGATGAATATGACACTTCAGATAACAACTGCGTATTCAAATATGAATTTCATATTCTGAATGATGCAGAGCATAATGATGTTGACATAGTTGAGCAATTTTTTAATACAAATTTTTTTGCAATAATCAAAAGAGGATACTGTGGCCCTATTGATAAATTATATGTTACAGGAGTTGCCCCTGCATTCTATGTAAGGCTTAGTTCGCTTCTTATATTAGATGATATCTCAAAAAGACTACAATTCTATGGAATTTGCAGTTTACAGAAGAAGTAGTACAGTCAATTGTTAAATATTATTTTGATAATAATATACAGATAGTAAATGATGCAATAGATCAAATTAGACAGCTGTATTTTGAATATAACTTTGTTAACACAGGATCTAATACTCAAACCCCCTTTCTATATAATATTCATCTAATTTTTCATTATTTGAGAGAAAGACAAAGTCGTAACCTTGTTTTTAAACCTTCTGAGTCAGCTGCTGTAAATTCAACAAAGATACTCACATGCATCGCTGACCAGAGCCCAGTTTCTATTGACAATCTCTTCAAACTCCTTACAAATGGGATGGTTTTTACCAAACTTCAAAATAATTTTAAATTATTCTGATTTCTTTAGGACTGGAGAATAAGATATAGAATATCATCAACAGCTCATATGGTCTTTTTTGTATTATTTTGAAATATTGACATGTGACTATATTAAAAGATTAATAATTTCAAATCAAGTAACAAGGACTGAAGTATGTATTTTCATTTTATTTTCTTAATATATTTCGAATAAGGAAATCCTAAATAATATTAATTTCATTTAGGTTATAACCTGAATTGTGAACTATATAAATTCTAACAGAAATCTTTTTTAACACAGACTTCCTGTATACAATCAACTTATACGTGGCTTCGTAAATCCACTGATAGAACTCACAAAAAACTTCTTTAAAAATAGACCTATGATGTCATTAAGAACTGCCAATAAAACCATGATGCAGGTAACTTTTGAAATTCTCCTTTCAATGTCATTTCATGTTACTAAGCTTCATCTTATAGTTGATGGAATGAAGAAAAGTAGTGATAGACGCTTTAATTTATAGACTTTTTTGTTTTTGAAAGTAAGAATGGCCTATTGATATCAAATGTTATATTAGAACTCAAATATATTACAATTACTGGCCTTTTAAGTAGAGCACAGGGATTCTGAATAAAGAATCCAGATACAAAATTATGAATCTGTTGGATAAAGATCTTGAGAATGAGAATGAAGAGCAGTTATTGCAACGTAAATATATATATTGGTCAAAAGAGGAAAAAATATTTGTGATGCAGCAGTTGCATGATATTTTGAATGATGGGTATCAACAGTTGGACAGATATATCAAGACGATTACAAAAAGGATGGTGAAAAGTTTTATCGATTCAGGCATTCTAGATTCGAGAATCATAGTTAAAAAAGGATCCTTTAAATTAAAAGATTACCTTATTATGTCTATAGGCACCTGTCGTATGCTAGTACGATCATATGAGCCAGTAATAACAGAGTTCAAATATTATATATTATAGGGTTAAAGCCATTACAAAAAAAGAATTTTGTTGAGACAAATTTATGAAACATATATTTTTTTTTCACTTTGATAAAATTTGAACAAGACAATCAAGTAGGTTTTGGTAGGTATTAGGAGCGAAAGTTTTCTGTGATTTATATACTAATACTGTATATATCAGAATTGTGCTTTTATTTTTTAAGGAAAAAAAAAGTCCTAGACATTATTGTAATTCAAGAAATAACTGAACAACTAAACATATGCCTTATTATTAAATCGTTATTTATATACTATAGGTAAGATGCTCACTTACATTATATTTTAAAAAGGTTTTTTTTTATATATAGTATACAATATAAAGAAGGTAATATAGGCATAATTGTATGTTTAAAAAATTTATTTCTTGTATAATAAATAATTTATATTTATATTTATTCATTTATAATAATTATATATATTATATAATAGATGTTGGGAAAACGTTTGCAGATGGATTATTTTGGTCATTGGCTAATTAAAAAAAAGGAATTTTACTATTGTATATATAGTTAGCACCGAAAATACTAACAAAAAAACCAAAAATAAAAATAAAAAAAAGTTTTTCGCAATTAAATTCCATAAATCTGTAAATAATTTTAGTCACTATAATTTTGTAAATACACATGTAAATTTGATAAGTTGGTCATGTTGAGGTAAGCTCATTTGACTAACTTATCGAAAAAACTGACTTATCAAAGTTTATATCAAAATTGATCTACATAAAAATATCCAATCAGATTTTATTTAAATAATAATAAATTAAAATGTTTAAATCAGCATATAAAAAATTATTCATTATAAAAAAACTTTCTAAGGTAGGTTATTTTAGAGATGCATTTTGTTTTCTTCTAATTTAATGTTATAAGTCTCTCATTCCTGATATTACTGGGCTATTTACTTTTATATCAGAATTTTGTTGCAAATAGTCAAATAGATTTTTAATACTATCTAAAGCAATTGGATATGATATTGGTATACTTATAGTTTCTTCTTCTTCTGATGCTCCTTGTACTGCAGCAATTATCTCATCTTCATCAATTACTTCAGCAATTTCTATTCTAAAGTCAATATTAATATAATTACTTGCTGTGATATCATTAACATCCATTTAATTAATAAGTGTTTGGATTGCATTTTCTTCATATTTAATTTATATTCTAATTCATCTGGTTCTTCAAAAACTTCTTCATTTTCTTTAATCATTTCCTCATTAGGTAGAATACCTATTTTTTGCCAATAACGGTATATTGTATCATTAGTCACATTACCCCCAGAATTTTGCAGTCTAATTAATTGCATTCAAAATATTTAATTTAGGAATCTCAACACCAAGTTCTTTGTATTTATCAAATGCTTGAATCCTATTTTGGCATAGTAATTTTCTATAATAAGCCTAGACAAATAAGGTAAAATTATTAATATTAAAAATAAATTTACAAAAGATTAATATTATAATTACTTTAAATGACTATATTATGTCTTGATCAATTGGCTGAAGATGAGAAGTTGTATTTGATGAAAGAAAATGCAATTTAATATTACTTAACTCTTCACCTTCTTCTAATTGATGTGATGAAATATTATCTATTAATAATAAAATGTTTCTTTGCCTTTTTTGCATTTTTTGATTAAATTGTTTAATCTATATTTGAAAAATAAAATGTTGCATCTATGATGAATTATTCCAATAATACTATATAGGAAGTGATTTTTTATCAATGTTATGAATACAGCGTAGATTTTTAAATTTATAGATAAATACTGGAGATAACTAATGAGTTCCATTTATATTACATGCAAGCATCACAGTAATTCTATCTTTTGGTTTTTTTTAATCCAGTAAAAGATTCACTAACAAGAGATTTATGGATTTTAATTTCCAATAAAAACTGGTTTTATCTGCATTAAATACATCTGACAATTCATACTGTGTAATTATAGATTATAGTTCAGTTCTAAATACAGGTAATTCACTAATTAGTGCATTTGCTACTTCTCCTGATTTATAATGTTCTTTAATATTATTTCTTTTTTTAAAATTTAAAATCCATCCCTATTTAAAAAAAAATAATAGATATCAACAGATTTGACAAATTAATACAGTATACAACAGAATGTCTAGACATATAAGAAAATTTCATTTAAAATCTGTTGAAATGAAATTATTAATCACGTTTCACGTGTAATAAAGATTTTTAAAATCTGTTAAAATGCGAATTTAATTATAATCTGTTAAAACAAGGGTTATATTGTATTACAGTTTATTAAAACAAAAGAGATTAATACCTGTGATAATTTGAAATTAGAAATATCAAGTCTTCGAGCAAATTGTACTTAGAATTACACCAGTTACTGTATGATTAGTCTCATTAGCAAGATTTATTTAAATTAATAATACTTCTTTTAACTGTGCCCATTCACTTCCATAACCACGTTTTTTTTGACATCTACTGAATTTTCTGCAACTGCAAGCCATTTTTCTTTGTTATTCAAAATATCACCTACAGTTGATTTACTAATTTCAAATAATTCAGCAATTGCTTCATGTAACTTAAATGGGTTATCAAATTTATATTTACATAATTCTTTTTTTTAATAGCTGTAAGAGTTTTTAATTTTCTTCCTTTTTTACTGCCACTTTTACTAGTAAGTCTAGATGTTCCTTTAGCATTATTTCTTTGTGTATTCATTTTAATTAATTAAACAATTAATTTTTTTTTATAACAAGTACATGACATTAAATTCATCCTTTATATAAGAAATTTGATAAAGGATCTTTATTATATAGATAAAGGTGACAAAAAATAAAAATTGATTATTTTTTGTTTCAAATTAGATCTACTAATTTTATAGATTTAATTATTATCTTTATTTGAGATAAAGGTTAGAAATTAATTATATTTCTAATAATTTTCACAAATTTAATTGTTATCTTTATTTGAGACAAAGGTTAAAAATTGGTTGTAGATCTAATAATTTAATTGTTATCTTTGTTTGAGACAAAGGTTAGAAATTATTTACATTTTGGATTAAATCTAATAATTTTTACAAATTTGATTATTATCTTTATTCAAGAAATTGGTTGTATTTTAGATTTAATAATTTTTACAAATTTAACAATTAATGAGACAAAAGATAAAAATTATTATTGTTTTTTTTAAAAATATAGATTCTTGATATAGATAATTCAAATAATTCGCAATTGTTTCTAATCAACTGTAAATAAAACCACATAATTTTTTTTATAATATTTGATATACCAGGAAGGTCAATGGCAAAGAAACAACACGCACAAGTCATGTGAATCTTTACTAATACTGACATAATTTCTGGAAAGATCTTGACTGACTCAATTATCAGCCATAATCTCATCGATATATTAGTCTAAGGATTACCACCCAGGTGATCTTTAGGAGTAGAACCCTCAGGGTCACTGGACTTTAGAACCACTGTCAAATTTGAATAGAGAAATCACTTTTAGTCATAAGTACTTTTAGTTGATTATTTTCCCTGTCTTTACCAACATCAATTAGAATCGTTATTACCTCTACCCAGTATCAGAATATTTTTTACATATGATCAGGAAGGCTTAAATGTTATCATCTTTATAGGATCTTAGAAAGATAAGTGGCTGTCATATCTATATCGTCAAACTCACACAGAAATTGAATATGACCTCTATCACAAGTGACAGCTTGATTGAATAGTTACTGTGGCAGTGTAATGCAGTCTATTATTAACCATAATCACTTTAAGGATATCTCAAGATATCACCTAATCTATTAATTACTGGTTAATCACTTTTTTACTTGTGTAAGGGCTCCTGAAATTGAAGACGTGAGATAGTATCCATTATAGACCTATTAGTGAAGGCCAAGTTTCTATCAATCTCTGACTTTATTTGCATCTACTTGTTTTACAATTTTAGTATTTAGATATAATCAACGTCAATTGACAGATTGATCAACTAGTTTCAAATATATATTAGTATATATGCTCACACATTTAGTTACATATGAAATTCTTATGAAAATCATCTAGTTTTATGCCTCAGCTGAAATTTGAATCTGTGGTTATTGCAGTGTAACCCATAATAGGAGCTTAGTTATTGCCAACTAAACTAGAAACACTAATTCTTTAAATAAAACCACATAATTTTTTTTTAAGTGCAGTAGTTTCACATAATCTTTATTAAATTCAAAGCATATGTAATAAAGTTAAATATACAAATTTAAGAAAATACAAAAATCTCTATTTAAATAAAATAAAATTAAGACCGTCCTTGCACTTTCCCAGAATCTATTCCTAACCTAAGCTAAAAATATCATTTTCTAGTAACTAACCGAATGAGAAAGGATTTGACCACTACAGCACTAAAAATTTAACTAATGGGATTCATAATAGACCATTTTGTTAATAGAATAATTAATCATCAAGGGAGAAGTAGAGCTTGTAATATTGTATCCTGTTGCAGCTATCTTTCTTAATTTTTAGGTTGATGTTGTATAATTGTTCAAAAACAACTTATCTAAAATGTTAATTGATCTATATTGCTTGTGTCTATTCAAATATGTAATGCATAAACGCCAAAAGCATTACGAGGGTGAGGTTTTTTGATCTTATGGCATTGTAAATACATTTGTACAGTATATAAGAGACCAATCCTTTGATGAGAGTAGATAAATAGGAGGAGCATTCAGTAACATATATCATATTGGTAAGTTAGACAGATTTGTAGTAAAGCCACTATCCTAAATTAATTTTTGTAATACTAATTGTGAGTCACAGATGATATTTTTCATCTGTGTCTAAGTAACTGAACACTCTCAAATGTGGGAAAAGGTTTTATCAGTGCATTTACATTTGACGCATAACCATGATGAATCGAAAATATCAAGGTATTTCTTTTTTAATATCTCTATGGTGAGGAGCATCTCTAAGAGTCTTTGGAGTTTTTCTTTCTGATTGTTGAGGCTTTATAAGATGTGTGTACTATTACAATATTGTCATTTATGTAAAAACAGGTAGCGTTTCAGTTTATATTCAGATGTTAGTATATTCCAATCATGTAGATGTGTTGTAGTTTATCATAAACTATGGATTGCATGATATTTTTTATGAATAATCATATGGGAATTAGAATCTCTAAATCATCATATCTATAGTAGTAATAGTTAATGTTTAAGAGATCAAACATAAGCGCAGTTGTACTGTAAGAGTTCTTTGCTAGTTGGTCAACTTTGTTATTTAATGAATCTCTTAAATATGCTTTAATTTTATGAAGGCATATGTTAAGGTATTGTTTTGATGATCTTAACAAACTCATCTAAAGTGAAAAATTATTAATCTTAAAAAGGGGTCTGGTGGTTAGAAAAAGACTCAATATTTTCTTAAAATTGTGGAATTGCCTAAACATAACTTGTGAATCTATTATGATAGTAATATGGCAATTCTGTAAGACAATAATAATAGTAATAAAAATTGCTACTAGTTTTACAACTGAAGATAAAGGAAAAGTAGCAACTAGTGCTATTAAAAAAGAGACCATAGGTGGATATAGATTCGTTTGGAGCTAAGCCATACTCATTTTTATAGTAAGAGTATCTAGACCAGAGAGAAAACTGTCTATATAAAATTCTAAATGTGAAGCAGCAGCAAACTGTTGTAAGAGAGTTAGTAGATCTTGTCTATGTAGTAATATAATGAATTTTGATATTAATATAAAAAATGCAGGGTAGCAAAAAATAATACAGTAGTAGATAACTAGAAAAGTTATTATATAAACGGTTAAACAAGTAAGATGCAATATCCTTCATAAGTAATAATAATTATGCATTGATATGTTGCTTCATGTATCCTTTAGTATAAGTTTTACACAGAGGTTAAGGAACGTGATCACTATACAATTGTATTTTTTAAGATTGAAAGAGTTACTTTTAAGTAGTATAGGCCTGTTATAAGAATATCTATCATATTGATGCAGAGATATTTCAGTAAAGGGGTGTATATGTAATAAATAATATCAGAAAAACTGTCTGATATCTTCAAAACATGATCTACTACTATTATGTTAGCATTGAGGTCCCAATATATAACAAATGAGCAGATTGCAATATCATATTGTGAGGATATTATCAGAAAAAGTTGAGATCATCAACATTGAGTGTATTCTTAATCTTTAAGTATCATTTCAGAGACAGTCCTTTTTAAAGCTCTGAATGGTTCAGATTAATCTGAAAATTTTCAGTTTAAATCAACTTCAGTTCAATTTCAGATTGCAAAAATTCAATCTGAAAATTTTCAGTTTAGTTCAGATTTTTTTCAGATTATAAATCTAATCTGAACTGAAAAAAATCTGAACTGAACTGAAAATTTCAGATAAATCCAAAATTTCAGATTGATTAGAACGATTAAATTATCATTCTAAAAGAATGATAAAAGAATTGTTCATTTGAAATAATTGAAGTTATCGTTCTAAATAAATAATAAAAAAATCATTCAATTGAAATGATTAAATTATCATTCTAATCAAACGATAAAAGGATTGTTTAATTGAAATAATAAAATTATCATTTCAAATAAATGATTGAAGTTATTGTTCTAAACGAACGATTGAAGTTATCATTTTAAATGAATAATTGAAGTTATCATTCCAAACGAACGATTGAAGTTATTATTCTATATGAATGATAAGAAAATTATTCAATTAGAACGATTAAATTATTATTCTAAAAGAATGATAAAAGGATCATTTAATTGAAATGATGAAATTATCATTCTAAATGAACAATAAAAGGATTGTTCAATTGAAACGATGAAATTATCATTCTAAACGAATAATAAAGAATCATTTCAAATGATTTAAAATTTTAGATTAATCTGAAATTTTTGGTTCAGTTCAGATTTTTACTGGTTTACGGTTCAATTTGATTTCAGATTAGCATTTTTAAGATTTATAATCTGAACTGAACTGAACCGTTCAGAGCATTAGTCCTTTTCTAAAGATTGATAAAAGAAATCTCAGATCCTTGGTGATGTATAATAACCTTCCATCTTTGCTAATTAATTATTTCATAAATATTAAGGAGTATTTAGATAAAAAGGGAATTGCTTGTCTTAGTCCTGTGAGATAATTAACTGTATAATGATATATTCACCTTGTATTCTATAAGTAAATTATTTTGGAAGAGACAAGTTTATATTAAAATGTTTAAGATCACATAAAATTGCTAAGATCCAGTTATTGAAGTATTTTGAAAATTTGTAAGGCTATTCAACTAATAAAGAGGTAGATAACCATTCTTTAATTTGTATTTGAAGTAGCTGGATATGGGTGGATAAGCCTAATAAATCAGTATTATTTAGAGAAGTCAGTAAGGCATTGCTGAAAGCTTATATATATCTGTAGTAGAGATGTGTTACTCCATAAATGAGTTGTAAGTGAAGGAAACAAGAGGACGTATCTTATGATAAATAAAGCTTTTTCTTAAGAAGAGTTTTGAAGAGTCATATGATATAATCTACTGTTAGTTCTAATATGTAGAACAGTTATATGTGATATTCAATATGAAGTATAACAACAACATTGAATGTGTATATTAGTTGCTTATCTGTTAATTTTTAGTAAACATTATAGTTACCATGGACTTAACATTCTGAATGGCTTATTTGATGATAAACTATTTGTTACATATTAACAATATTCAGATCCCTAAATATCTTATAAAGCTTTTAAGACTGGTAGTAGTAATTGTGTGTATAGAGCCATTTATATGTGTTTGAAGTGTGTGGATTTCATTGGTATTTGTTAACAGATTTGATTTAGACCAGTTTACTTTGATGCTATTGAGGTCATAAAAGTGTTAGCGATATTAATAATTTTGTTAAGTTCTGATTTGAATTTAGCAATTCACAGCGTATCGTCTATGTATTCTAATATAGTAGTCTTACATGATAATTTGTTGAAAGAATTGAGACATACATTGGGTTTCTATCTCGTCATCATGGTATAATCAAGGTTAGAGTTCTGCATTTTGCATAATAGTGGGTTATAATAAATACACCACAGTAGTGATGAGATAATTTCACCTTGATCTATGTTAAAGAACACATTATATGTGTCTGTAATCACAAAAGATGTAAAAACTTGATTTTTTCTGCTCATAAACATATTTAAAATAAAATAGATAAATTCTTTAAGAAGCTTTAAATATTCTAACGCTTTTACCAGTATAATAATATTAATGTGATCATAGGCTTTCAACATGTTTTATAAAAGGATTTACAATTCTTTTTTATTAGAAAAAGTGTCGTATTTTATGTTATCAAAAATATGTAAGGGTTCAAAAGTAGAGCAGAAGGGAAGTCTTATGAAGTTATATCTTTTGAAGATATTATGTTGAACTAAGGTAGTTAAAAGTTGTATATTAATGAGTTTAATAAGGGCTTTCTTTAAATACTTAATAAGGTGATTGGTCTCATATTGTTGAGGTCGAATTCTTAAGGTTTAGGTTTTAAAATTAGATAAACGTATCTCAGATTCCATCGATGCAAAAGTGATGAGATTGACATACAACTATATATTAATTGTCAGAAAATCTTCTTAACCAAAGAGCCTAGGTGTTTGAGTATTTTGTTTGATATCTTGAATAGGCTGGATGCTTTGCCATCAGCAAAGGAATTGATGATTGAGTACTATTCATCTACTAAGGGTGATGACATCAAATTGTTATAGATTTCAGAATCTATATTGCTTAAAGGGCTGTATGATTAGAGTCATTCTTTAAGGATATTTTTTAATTCATGAGTGGTATCTGCTACTCTTTGAAAATGTTCATTGACTGTTTGATTGACTGAAATTTCGTTGTGAGAAAATCTTTGGTATTCTGTGATAAATATTTGTCTAAGATGATAGTTTTTCTCAATCTGTTTAATACAGAGTCTAGCATTTTAGCAGGATTATTAGCGTAAGTGTCTAAATGTTATTCTAGGTGTTTTTATATGAAGGTAAGTTTGTGATCTTTCTCGTAGATTTTGGCCTTATATAGGAGTACTTTGAACAAAAGGACCGTGTCAGAAAGGAGGAGATCAACAAAATTAAATGGATAATCTAGTTTTGAATGCGTTATAATAAATATAAGAAAGTTAGTAATGTTGCGATATTTATCATACACTTATGTCTAATTTACGGGAAACAGTCTGCCTCATTTGATTTTGAGGAGTAATTTTTTAAATTTTTGTAAAGTTTTCTGATATGAATACAGTTTTGAGAGGTCTGGTAACCATGGATATTTGAATTATCCTAATGATTTTCTGATTGGTATACATTTTTCAGCCGCTTTAATCAATAGATCTTGAAAGATATCCTAGTATTTATTGAGCAAGGTTTGCATCTAATGAGTGTTATGATCAATTGTTTTAGTCAAACTTCTATTTAATAGCGCATCAAATTTGATTCTAAATTTATTCTATAGATCATCGTTCATTTTATCAAAATCAAAACTAATTTTAATAGGTATTTTACATCTGTTAAACTTAATATCCAAAAAGTTCATAATTGTTGTGATGATGATATAATGATCTGATATATCCATTTCAATTAGAATTGTATAGCTATCTAAGATATTCAGAAAGATATTTGTTAATGTCTATATATAGTCAATCCTAGAAGATGTTTAGCTTGAATAGTAAGTAGGAAATCATTCTTAAAATCAAACTGGTAAAACTTGCAGCAAATTAATATTATGATCTGCACTTAACTGGTGCTAAATTAGGATCTATCATAATATTATCTATCGATAAGAACTCCCACTTTACAACAAGAGTTAAGGATACCAACTTCATAAAATTACATTATTATTTATAATTTATATTAGAATAAAATATAATATGAAGATTAAATTTATGTTAAACATAATACAAATTATTTCATTTGTCTAATAAGAGATATTTTATTAGTCTATAATTTTATATTAGTTTCTAAATTTTTTAATTATTTTTTGATTGCAAATAAAATTTAGTAAGTAATAAAATATATGTACAGTTACAAATATAAATTATATAATATTAACTATCTATTATTATGTAAATAATAGATGATAAATAATTTATCCTATGACTAAAAATTTACTTATTTCTAATTGATCAGAAATAAGTAATACATATTAGTTTCTTATTAAAATTACAAATTTTTAGTTTATAAATAACTTTAGATTTTTATTATATAATTAATAAATAAAATTTACTATAATATAATTTATATTATAGTTAATTTAATTTAAAAAAATTTTTAAAGAAAATTTTAATCAATAAAAAATTATCAATGTATCTGATTGTATAATAAATTACTAAAAAGAAAAACTTATAACAGATCAGAGTGTCTCTACAATTGTTAATACATTTTAAAGGTTTTATAAAACATTTTTTTTTAGAATTGAATTTTTAATATTAAATTTTTTTCTTAAAATAATTGACCAAATTCTGATATTAATATGATGCTTAGATGTTATCTCTGCTAAGAAACTTTTCTTTACGAAAACACCTTTTAGATATTGGATAAATAAATAAACTAAGATAAAACGTGGTGTAGCAAACTCTTTGATTGGCTGTTATTCTTATTCACAGAATGGACTTGATACTTAGGCGTGAGTGTTACACAAAAACTTCAACTAAAAACTTTTTTTTATTTTAGAAAAGTGCGAACCGCAAAAGGCCAGTAAAATCACATTACGGATTATATGGCAAGAAATCTCATCAATTGGGGGAGATGATCATTTTCTTTCATCAAAATACTGTTTTTCCATTCTAAATACAATATTTTTTTTTTTGTATGGAATGATTGATAAAACAAGTGTTTTCTTTGCAGTAGAAAGGGAAAAAATTTTTCGAGTTAGAAAATAAAAAAAAAAAAAAGAAACTCTATTGTTATTACCCAACCTTTTTTTTTGTATATACTTTAGTTTAAAAATCATATTTACATAAAACAAATGTTCTGATGTGAAGTTATAAATCAAGTATCCCATGATCATTCAATGGGAATTCCTTAAAAAAATTTTTTTTTTTTTTGGAATAAGAATAGTGATACAGTTAAAAATTCATATTGCTGAATGTAGAGCCTTTACATCATTATACATTTGCGTTCAAACATATCTTTCCTTTAATTATTGTAAAAAATTGGATTTGGGTTAATGATTTTGAAAAAGAATTGATTAAATGCGAACATGACACCATCTTTATGGCGGCGTTTTCCCAATATAAAAAACCTAGCATTTTTAACAAATTTGCTTTTTGTTTTTTTTTAAAAAAAAAAAAAAAAAAAAATCGATTATTTTAATTACGCAAAAGAAAGAAAAAAAAAAAAAAAACAAATTTTTGTCCACTAAATTCTAAACTTTTTCACTCAATTCATAATCATTAAATCTCATTTTCACAACAATTCGCGTTTGAGAAAATGCTTCTGCTCCTCGTATCGAGAACTCAACCGGATGAAATACAACCATATCCAAATTTTAAGGTATAAGGAACTTCACATTTTAAGACGGTTTATTTTTTTAGTATTTTTTTGTAGCTTAATTTTTAATACCCGTGTTTATTTTCATTTTGTTGTGAATTCAGGGGGATATAATAACGTTCTGTTAAGACCGAACGGTGGAATAACGGGAGTAACGCAGGTGACAAATTATCACCTGCGTTTCAATACTTTGATTTTGAAGTAAAATCAAAGTATTATTTTTTCAACACATTTGATCTCGTCTTTGGTCACTTGTTTGTATCTCCTTAAACGAGATTTGTAATAAATTGGAAATTTTTTCTATTTTAATAAAAACCCAACTTGTTTATTTCTTGACAACAAAATTTGCCCTGTTGTAATAAATTTAATAAATTAATTCTTCTGAGATGGACCATTTCGATATGTATGCTTGTGAGAGGTATTGTGATAATTGTTTGGCCTTGTATTTAACAGAGAACGACACGCGTGCAAAACGTTCAAGAATGGTGCACGATCTTTGATAAATACTGTAATTATGTCATCATTATTTTTTTCGGATGGATCAAGTCGAAATTTATGAAAAAAAATTATTCAAATCCTTCAATTTCGTTACAGGTCATTGTGTGGTCTGTTCATATTAGTTTTATAATATTTACGGATGCAGATAAGCCGTAGTTATATTAGTTACATTATATTTATTACAGTTTATTTTATATATACAGTACATATATGTATACGTTGATTATCAATCTTTAAATTCATAAACTCTTCTTTTCTAATCCTATTCGACTACCCTCTTTAATCATCATTATTATCAATTCTCTCTAATAATAGAATCACTTAAATTGATATGATGTTTGGTGGAAGTTGAACTAACATGATTGAGAGGTTTGATGTGAATGCACCCAGAGTTCCAAGCCATTTGCTAATCTAGGATTTAGATAATGATAAACTCAATGAACTTAACATAGCACAATTAAAATAGAATTTTGTTATAAGTTCCATTTTTAAATCTTTTTTTGAAGTTTTTCCCAATGCTGAATCTTCTCCCAACTTACAATCTTTTTAAATTTAAAAAAGGTCGTAAAAAATCAAGAGTAATTGGTTGGATATTGTTGTTGCAAATTTCTATAATTTCATAGGATTAGGTAATTTGAAGTCAAATCCAAAAAAAAATGTGCATCTATACAAGTTCTCCCCATAACACCACACCATCATGAACCACGACATCCCCACGTTCTGCAAAGACAATTCCAAGAGGCACGTTAACACCACAAGTTTTCCTTAGTTCCAAAAATTAGTATTGTCGCTTAAATTGAATGTCCAATTAAGTAGTACATGTATAAGCAGATTTGGAAAAGATTGAGCCCAAATATCAATGAATTTACTGTTCGTGATGTAATCTCGGTGTCAAGTAAAGGTAATGCAGGATTATCTACTTTCCCTTTTGTGTCAACAACGTTTTACTAAGGGAAACGAATAATAAACAATTTAATAATTAATAATGAAAGGATTAATGCTAATAAATTATTTGCAACTTACTATATCATCTGGTAACGCTATATCTTGATACTTTCAATTTCAAATAATTACTTATGGTTTAATAAATGATGCCAACTGTAATTCCACGCTTCTTCATCTTCTTCAATAGCACAAAATATGACAGTAATTTCTTTCTATAAGGTGCAAAATAACTGACGAGTTGTTCTTCATCACCAAGTTCGTTTCTAAATTATTGATCACGTGAATTATTACGTATAATTAATTATTATACCATTTCCGTCTGGTTTATATTTTCTAAATCACCTGTATTGAATTACCTTTGCCATCTATGTCATGGATCTCATTGCTAAATCAATCCCTCCCCAAATGCGCTAATAGTGATCTATCTCCTATCTGGCTTGATCTATGTCTACATTTGTTCGTTCCTCAATAAAGTTTGTAAGAATTTTACCTTCGTCACATCCTCTAATCTTAAGTCTCTGCCAATCCATCAGTTATAACTAAAATTCGCTAATACCACAAAATATCTTTCTTTTGGCTAATCGTTTTGTATACCTTTTCAGCAACTACTACAACCTCTGAGATAATAAAGGTTCTGTAATGAAATAGAAACAGATCTATGTTTCTGTTATTCCAATGCATGTTTATAATTTTGGTATTGAATGGCAAGAGCTACAGCACGCTTGTTTCGAAGGGAAGATATCGGAATGATATCATTAATAGATAGCAATAATTATTAAGTTGATTTGTTATGATTCATTTCAGCCATCCAAGTCGCCAGTCGCCGGATATCTTCGCTGAACCGGAATTGTCTGAGACTTCGCCTAAGCGGCTGATGACATTAAATGACAGAAGTCGATGACAAAAAATTCGGTTTCAACACCTAAAATACACCATCAGAAAATTTAATTAACTAATAAATAAATCAGAACTTACCATTTAAAAATTTTCTTTTTCAAATTCCTTTGAAGTCCGAATAAAAGTACGTTAGCGAAAAATGATATCATATAACCCTATGAAAAAGAACAGCATTATACATTATAATGAAAATAAAATGAAATTTAAATATATTTTTATTTTACCATTCAAAGTTCGAGTACCAAAGTTCGGTCCAATGTATACCACATCCAATTTCGTTAAATAAATAAAACAACACATTAATAAAAGAAATTTTAAAAATGATCATTGAGGTAAATTCACATACGACCAATAAAAATACGTAAATATACACGTGACACTATCATTATTCGCGTCTACAAAGTTTTTGATAAAAAAAAGTGAAATCTAGATTGTGATCAGATGATGTTGATAGGGCGTAATAATGATAGTAATGATAGTAATCAGTGGTTGATGATGGTGTTGGTGGTCTTTTTTTTTTCATCGCCAAAAACTAATATGAATAAATTGAAACGCGTTGTTTTTATTATATGTTACGAGGTTATTATAATTTATCATTATTTATATAATTACGTGGAAACAAAAAAAATAAACGAACGAATTATAAGGATTACTAAAGACAAATTAGATTTTGCTTTATTCAACAAACTAATACAATACATAATATTTTTTTTACATGATTTAATATCAAAATTCTTTAAATACACTAACTAGCGACTAATTGAGACAGTGGACAAATTACCAACTGGTGGTAATCTGTCTGTCCTAAGACCTAAACTATAATGATAAGAACCAACTTGTTCTTTCATTTTATTTTCCGCGTTAATACCATACGCAGCCAATAACGAACAATTTTCAACCACCAAAAATTCATCATCAAACTCAATGAAAGATGGCGTTGAATTTTCATACCGTAAGACCATAATCTAAGGGATATTATGATTCCTATAATTATAAATTGTGAAGGAAAATTATTTAATTAGTAAATTTATTAAAAACAATCATAATGCATTAAAGTTCTTTAACACTATTTACTTTGATGATCTAATCATCTTCCAGGAGCCAATTCCTGTATGGTTGGTAACCGACCATACATACATAATATACTATAATTATTAAATGTTAATTAGTAACTTTATAAAACTATCATAATTCCTAAAATTTCTAAACGCTATTTACTTTTGAAGACGCCCATCTCCTGTATGGTTGGTAACCGCATAGGACCAACCATAATGTAAACCACTATTATTATAAAAAAATTATTAATTAGTAATGTTATAAAACTATAATAATTTCTAAAAGTTTCTAAAGGTAATTACTTTGAGGGCGCCCTATTCCTGTATGGTTGGTAACCGCATAGTGACCAACCATAGACGTTAGGTAAATTACTATTATTATAAAAAATTAATTAATTAGCAAGTTTATAAAACCATAATAATTTCCAAGTTTCTAAACGCTATTTACTTTGAAGGCGTCATATTCCTGTATGGTTGGTAAGTGCATAATCCGCCAACCATAGACACCAGATCGGTTACTATAATTATTAATGTGATTAGTAAATTTATTTATAAAACCATACAAGTTTTCAACGTTATGATATTTACTTTGACGATATAACGGAGAACCATCTCCCAATTCTTTTATGGTTAGTAGGCGCATATTACCGTGATGAGTTAAAATAGTTAAATTGTGTTGTTTTTTATCCGCAAGAGGCGTTACGTTTATTTATATAAAAATCCAGAATATTTTTATTTTTATAGTGAAATAGACTTATTTATGTCGTACAAATATAACGAATACACAACCCGTTACGCGTTCGTAAAAACGCCGCCACGCCCCTTATATAGTATTTGAGAGATTCTTTCTGATTGGTCATTATTTTGATGATCAACACTAGTTATGATTGGTCTATAATATTTAGTAAATTTTATATATTATAATATAAAGATTGTTATTATTTTATTTTAAAAAGTATTTTAATATTTAATAATCTAAAACCTTTATAAAATGCTTAAGTAGAAATTCAATAAGAGATTATATCTCAGAAAAGCTTTTTTTAAAAAATAATTTTTTTTTTTTAATAAAATTAGTATAATAATATTCTATAAATCATATTTTATAAAATAATTTTAATATTAAAACTTTAAGTATTTTATAATTAACAAAAATTAAATAATAATTTATTAATAATATTTTAAAAATAAATTTTAATATTATTTTATTAATTAATTTAATTTAATATTTAAAATTTAAAATAATTTATTATCTGAAAATTTTACATAATATAACATTTTTTTTTATTAATATTTACTCAAAATTAATTTTTTATTTTATATGTGTATTAATAAAAAATGAAA